AGAGATTACAAATAATAAGTTTAAGCATGCAGAATATTGCAGAAGACTCCAGGTATGGGAGTGGTTATTTGCTCTTGTCATGAGATTGCCAGATTCAGGAAATTAAAATGTTGGGCCTGGTGTGGTGGCTCATGCCTGTAATCCCAGCACTTTAGAAGTCTAAGGCGGGTGGGTCACGAGGTCAGGAGTTTGAGTCCAGCCTAGGCAACAAAGTGAGATTCCCAACTCTACCAAAAACAAAAAGAATTTTCTAGGAATAATAGAGAGTAGGTAAAAAAATAAGATGCTCACTTAAATCTGAATTTCAAACAACAAATCATTTTTTGGTGTGTCCTAAATATTCAAATGTAACTGGGCATCCTGTGTTGTGTCCGGCAGCCCTGCAGTTAGTCTCATCCACACTCCAGTCTGCAACATGGATCCACTGTGTCTGCTTGGAATGCCCCCTACTCAATTTAACAAAATCTGGCACCTCTTTAAAGGCCCCGCTCAAAGACCACCTCTCCCACGAGGTCTTCTCTGGTGTCCTCAGATATAATTACTTCTTCCTCTCCACTCCCAAAGCGGAAACAGCAGATTCCTCATGTGTCCCATAACACGTGCTTCCTTCCACTCTGTAGAGGCGTGGTCTGCATCTTAGCCCCACCTGAGCCTGGAAGCTTCCGGAGCACCAGACCAATGTGCTCTGCCAACTCATGCTTCGCACTCGGGAGGTGCCATTAGCTGGTTGTTAAATGAGTATGTAAGACTCTATTGTTCTAAATCAGAACTACTTTCTACTTTTATTTTCAGAGTGGATTTTTCTTCCTTAAATTTCTAGATCAGCCAGGCATGGTGGCTCACGCCTGTAATCCCGGCACTTTGGAAGGCCAAGGCAGGTGGATCTCGAGGTCAGGAGTTCGAGACCAGCCTGACCAACATGGTGAAACCCCGTCTCTACTAAAAATACAAAAATTAGCCAGGAATGGTGGTGCCCACCTGTAATCCCAGCTACTCAGGAGGCTGAGACAGGAGAATCACTGGAACCTGGGAGGCAGAGGTTGTTGCAATGAGCTGAGATCGCACCAATGCACTCCAGCCTGGGTGATAGTGAGAGACTCTGTCTCACAAAAAAGAGCTGTAGAATCAGTGCTACAGGGGCATCAGAGGCAAATTGAAACCTTCCAATTTAGGAGAAAGGAAGGAAATGTGCATCTTTTTCTTCTCTGAACAAGGAAATGATAATTTGTTAAAAAGAAAAAAATAAGATTCAGCATTGACAATTACTGGTTACAAAATAAAACAATATTATAGTTTTAAGTGAAAACATCTCCATGTGAACAAACTTCGCTTTGTATTTTAGCATCTGTTTGAGGTTTGTACTGCAAAGCGGAAAAATGAAATCTCCCAGGCACCATTTGCCAAGGGATTTGCTCCCCTTCTTTGTCTGTTCGGAATAATCCTAAGAGTGGCTGAGAGCTCCCCATTTTATCTCTGGGTTGAGGCAAAAGGGAGAATTGTTCCCAAAATAGCCCATGAGATGGCTGGATTCCCTCAGACAGGATTTGGGGGAGGACAAAGAAACCATGTGGGCATTTTATGAAGAGTATCTGGACTGGGTGCCCTGTCATTTGGAAGGCATCTGTTCCTGCCATGTGCACATCTTCCGGTAATCCTCCATTGATCGCCGCCCCGCATTCCTTCCTGCCCACTTGTGCTGGCCCTCCTGGCAGTGCCCTCTGACGTGAGGCCCCTCTTTCACTGCTCTAATTCAAGGGCTTCTAATTGAATGCTCTGCCTGGCTAATGGTTTCTACCCAACTGCAGGGCTGACATTTACTTATTTGATTTCCACCCCTCCCTCTGCTCTCTGGCCTCCTTTGTGAGCAGAGCTTAAATTAGGCAGGATTTTAGATCCAGCACCTTTTTATATTTCGGTGTAGGCCTCTTGTTTTTTGAGTGGGGAGGGTGGCTGAGTAGAGAAGAGCCTTGGAAATATACGCTGAGCTGATCAGTCCTGACCCCTGCAGATAAACCCAGCTTTGTGACTTATCTGTGTCCCAGAATCCCAGCTGCCTCTGGGCTGCTTTCTTTGTTTGCTTTTTAACCTGGACCCCAGCCTGCTAATTTCAGCTGGAACAAACTTTATTCTGTCACCGAATATCAGACCAATGCCAAAAGAGCTGTTGCTTGTTTTCATCACTGGAAAGTTTCTGGGCTGAATGTTAGAGCTGTTCATCTCCAGGATTTGACATTCAGAATTGTGATGTAGGGCTACAGTCATCTTAGTGATTATCTTAGTTATCAGTCTGAACTCATCCTCCTTTCTTCCCTGTCCCTAGATATAAACATATCTGGAGAAATGAGAGACGTGATCCTGAAAGGATTTCATCTTTGAAGCCTCTTCATCACCATCTTTGCATTTGCCTCTTTTTCAGCCTTGCAGCCCCAAATGAAATAGAAGAGCCTTCACCCATCAATATCTGCTTAGAGTGGATATTTACAAATTGAGTTTAAATTGTTCTCAGATGCAAATTGTCTTATTTATTTATAGATTTCACCCCATAGAACAAACAGAGACAAACAGCAAGCTTCCTTTCGGTTTGGGATCACTTGGCAGCATGGCACCAATCTCCACTATCACCCAAGCTATGGTTCAGGCAAGCTGTTAGCCTGAGGTCTATAGTCTATCTCCAGGGATTTCTTTTACTTGATTCTTAATTATATACTATTCTCCATCTTCCCAGTCCCTTTACACACACACACACACACACACACACACACACACACACACACACTTCCTCTTTAATTAGGTTGTAGCAGTCTCTTCCAGGTATATCTAACTCAGTTCATCATGGACTGTTCTGACTGACAGCTGTCTGCCCTCGCCAACACTTCATTAGGTGTGATACCCTGCAGCCAGTGGTCCCCATGCTGCCTTGTTCAGGAACCAAAGTGCAGCCCTGCAGGGAGTCTGGGAGACAAAGGGATAGTTGTGGTGGAGAAGTAATAGTGATGAAAGGGCTTCCAGAACAGATGCAGGAAGCACCCTGGAGAGCAGTTCGCTTTCATATACCAGGTTATGAAATTAGGAGTGGGTTAATAAAGGCAACTTAGTTACCCAGGTGTTGCCTCTGTAGCTGACAGATTGATATTTAAGCCTCAGAAAATAACCAGAATATCTGAGTCTCAATAGGTGGTCCATTACCGACAAAATCAATATGGCCTCTTGCCTATGCAATCCTCCTTTTTACTTTTTTTTTTTTTTTTTGAGACAGGGTCTTACTTTGCTACCCAGGCTGGCATGTAGTGGCATGATCTCAGTTCACTGCAGCCTCGACTTCCTCAGGCTCAAGTGATCCTCCCAACTCAGCCTCCCAAGTAGCTGGGACCACAGGTATGCACCACCATACCCAGCTAATTTTTGTATTTCCCGTAGAGGTGGGTTTTGCCATGTTGTCCATGCTAGTCCCAAGCGATCCTCCCCTCTTTGCCTCCCAAAATGCTGGGATTATGGGTATGAGCTACAGCAATTTTCTATTTTACTTCTTGCTTTTTTTTTTTTTTTTTTTTTTCGAGACAGAGTCTGGCTCTGTCGCCCAGACTGGATGCAGTGGTGCGATCTTGGCTCATTGCAACCTCCGCCTCCCAGGTTCAAGCAGTTCTCCTGCCTCAGCCTCTCAGGTTCAAGCAGTCCTCCTGCCTCAGCCTCTCAGGGAGCTGGGACTACAGGCACCACCATCACAGCCGGCTAATTTTTGTATTTTTAGTAGAGATGGGGTTTCACCATCTTGGCCAGGCTGGTCTTGAACTCCTGATCTTGTGATCCATCCGCCTCAGCCTCACAAAGTGCTGGGATTACAGGCATGAGCCACCGCCCCCAGTCTTTTACTTCTTACTTTTAACATTCATTTTCACTTTCCATTCTTTCTGAAAAGAGGGCTAGGAAGGAAGAAGGGAATAAATATTTCCTATGTTCTAGACACTCATGGCTGATTTACATGGTGATATAAACCTATATTTTTTTAAATTGAGGTATAAATTACACACAGTAAAATCCACAGTTTGATGTTTTTTGACAAATGTATACATCCTTATAACCACCACTCTATCGGTTACAATGGCATGATTCATCCTCACATTTAATCTCCATGAGAGATTGGTGTCACTGGCTCAATTTTATAGCTAAGGAAAGGCAGGATCAGAAAGATTAACAACAATAGCAATAATAATGGCAAATACTATGAGCCAGGCACTGTTCTAAGCACTTTACACATATTATCTCATTTAATTCTCGTTACAACCCCATAGGTCCCATTTTACAGATGACGAAACTCGCCCCAGGTCACACAGCTACAGTGTTGGGGAAGGATTTCTGGTGCTTGGTTTACCTTATTTCCCTTACAGTACCTCCAGATAATTTTTTAAAAGTTCCCTCATTATATTTTCTTTTATCCCAGAGAGAAAAAATCCCCCAAAACAGAACTAAAGGCCATTGGAAGGAAAGCCACATGTCTCATAGCTATGCTAACCCCGCTCCAGCACCCCCGACTTTCTTTATGGGCAATCAGCTTCAACATCATGGATCGAAAAGGTTGGGCTTGAAGAAAAGTCTTGTTTCGCTGCTCGTTAAACACTGGCCTTTTCATCTAAGAAAGTCCTTCAAGCCATCTGCCCAAGCAAAGTGATCAAATTGCCCTGAGGTTCAGCTTGACCTGGTAAAACACGTTGCTTTGCTGAACGAGTTGTGCCTTGCCAGCGGTGCTGAGCATTTCCTCGGGAATTTAGCACCCGCGCTAGACCACCGATACCTCCACTGTGCATGAAAAGCAAAGATATGGGGTGGCTGTTTGGGACCTTAATATAAAAAGGTCAACCCATGTCTCTGCCTTTTACCCACAGCCCCACCCCAGAGGAGGGAGAAATCTGCAATCATTGGATTAGGGCTGAGGTGCACATTTGCCCTCTGTGTAACTGGCAGCGTTGCAAAGGACAGCCCCTTTCTCTCTTCCCTCCATTCTCTCCCATCTGGCAGAGGAGTCTAGCTCCCTAAATCTTTTTGTTGGTTAGTTTCCATGGCAGTTATTGTCTGTGTGTGTGAGCGTGTCCGCCCCCTCACCCGCTCTCCTAGCAGATCGGGCCTTTGCAGCTGAGACTGAGTGGAGGGAGAGGCGCTGAGACACCGGGGCTCTGAAGAGCTGGCTGAGGCCCTCCTGGTGGGGGGTTACGCCTCCTGGAGCTCAGAGACCCCAAGTTTCTGCGCATTCAGAGCGGGGCTGGCCCCATGCCCTGTGCATAGGGGCCTGGCTGCATCCCGGTCGATCAGCCAGAGGCAGCAGCAATGGACTCATCAATTGTGGAGGAAACCTTGGGGACCCTGGGGACCTTGCCAGCTCTGTTCCCAGCCTGCTCCTAGGACAGCCTCAGAGCCAACACCTGCTCACCCTCTCCAGGCCCCTCCCCTTCTTTGTCCTTTGCAGATGATCTCTGGGTGTCCTCCTTTTCCCCCTAGTCAGGTAAGTTTTATTTCAATCCATCTATGCAGAGTGATGTCTTGACATTCTGAGTGCCTACTGCTGGGGAGACGGGCAGTGGTGTCAGCAGTGAGAGGAGGGCTGCCCAGGTCAGACAGGCTGGCATGGGGGTTGGGAGGGGCAAGGGTCTCTAAGGGCCTTTTCTCCTCAGCTGGGCCTCTCTGGCTTTGAAGTTAAAGTTCCTTCCCATCTGGTTTTAACCCAGCTAATTAACTCCAAAAATCACTGTCCAGCCAGGGCACAGACTGACCAACATACAGCCGACCTCCAGAACTTCTGGCTTCTGATCTGAAGTCAGCCCAACTTTATGGAATATCAAACAGAAAACCAAATATTGCATATTCTCACAAGTGTGGGAGGTAAACCCAGGATACAGATGGACATAAAGAGGGGAACAACGGACGCTGGGGACTCGAAAAGGAGGGAGGAAGGGGACAAGGGCTGAAAAACTTCCTATTAGGTTACTATGTTCACTATCCAGGTGACGGGATCAACAGAAATCCAAACAGCAGCATCACAAAATACACCCTGTGACATACCTGCACATATGCCCCCTACATCTACAATTAAGATTTTTAAAACGTATGGAATTCCTACTATGTACACATTGCTGTGCTTGGCTCTGAAGGGATTGTGTTTTGACAGCAATGGCACGTAACATGGTTCCTGCCTTCTTCCAGTGCCTACCACCGGGTAAGAAAGAATGTCTACACAGATAGGTACGAGGACTAGGGGGCCAGGCCAGCTGGATTTCACATCCTGTTCTGGCTGTATGACCTTGGGCAAGTCATTGAACCTCTCTAAGTCTCCGCTTTCACATTTGTAAAATGGCAATAATAATAGTGCCTACCTTATAGGCTAAATTATACACACACACAACGCGCACTCACATAAAACTCTGACCAGTTCATGACACCTATTGAGCACCATATATTTGTTAACCATTATTATTATTGTTATTATACTTGTTAACGATTATTATTATTATTGTTATTGACTTCTTATGAGGTTCGAATTATACAAAATATGTAAAGAATGTAGCGTGGTGTTGAGATTAATGGGTATGTGGTTTTGATCATGCTAACACAGTTATAGATGAAGTTCTATAGAAATGGGAAAAATGACTCTTGCCTGCAAGGGTCTCGAAAGGCCTGGAGGAGGCTGCATTCAGGCCGACCTCTGAAGGATGAATGGGACGTCAACAAGCGGGCATGAGCATGTGAAGCAGAAAGCACAAAGCCAAGCATGGAGGCAGGAAATGAAAGGCCTATTGGGCATCAGGCAATAGAGTGGTTTGGCTGGAGCCCAGGCATTAAGCCTGGCTGAGAGGCTGGACTGGACTTTGGGCTCCTGGCATCTTGGGGACAAGGGCCAAGATTAGGGTGTGACACTGTGAACACTGGAATAACCAGGCCAGCACCAGGATGAGGGGGAGTGATACACTTGCTAGAGAGCCAGGCTCAGAGCCCAAGACCAGGGTTCGGGTCCTGGCTGAGCTTCAGATCGCACTGGGTGCTGTGAGGCTCATCACTCCACCTCTCTGAGTTTGTTTTCTCATCTAGAAATCGGTAGGTAAAATGCAAAGTGCAGTTCTTCAGGAGAAAGGAGAATTTCTGTGTCATCTGCATGGCCCTGGAAAAAATGTAGAGGAATCAATCATTTAACAAAGAGACTTATGTAAATGATCAAGTGCAATGCCTGACTCATAGTAGTTGAATGAATGATCTTGATCTTGCCCATCATGATTAATTGCCTTATTCATCCATTCATTGATTCACTCGTTCATTCAGCAAATATTCCTTAGGTCCCCACTGAATGCCAGGCATTCATTTTGGTGATGGGAAAGAGTGGTGAACTCAACAGGTATGCACCTGCCTTGAGACACTTATAAGCAACTGGGCAAACTGGCGACCTGAAGACTTCTGGGTGCCCCCACCCCCGGCAGCTCCCATCCCAGTGGCCATCTTCCAGTTTCTCTCAAGGATTACTGCTTTCGGATATTTATTTTTAGCAGATTTTAGGCTCCCAAGACATCATCCACATAGGCCTTGAGAACATCTCCCGTCTGCCCTCTGCTGGTGGGGGATTGTAAGCGCTGTGAAATAAACAGCTCAGTATTCATTGCACATCAATACGAAGCATTTCTGCTGCTGTCCATCACTCCTGAGATGAACCAAAGTGCCTTAATATTTAAAGAGGAATGAATTTGTAATTAGTACCTTAAAGTCACATCAGAGTCATTCAAGAGGTTTTCTATTAAAATGCAAATTTAATCTTCCCAAAGGAAAGCTAAAAGGTGTTGAAAATAGGAAAGGTTGAGGAACGCGGCAAGAAAGGGAGATGGCGCTGATGTGGAGCTGTCACGTTGTTGACTTGTCTGTGGCCCATGGTCCCCTCAGCTCAGGACCAGGCTCTGAGGCGGAGGGAGCTGAGGTGGGGCCTGGGTCCCTAAATCCTAAGACCCAATTGCCCTGCCTGTTCATGGGGGTAGCCCAAACCAGCATCCATTTGGGTGGGTCCTCGCTGGGCTGCCGGTGGTTGTCTTAGAATCACGGTGGCCTGGAGAGGACACGGGCTGTGGAGTCAGGCAGATCTGAGTTTGAATCCAGGATCCTGTTGTGCCTAACTCTAGCACCTTGGCGAGTTTCCTAATCGTCTGCATTCCTTCATTACGTAAATAGACCTCTTAGTGCTTGTAAGTCTCAAGATGGTTGTACAGATAATGTGATCAGCAGAGAAAATGTCCCTGGTATACAGTAAGGGCCTCAAAATGTTCATTTCCTTTTATTGCCACTAGATATTGCTGTGTCGACTTCACACGCCATGGTGGTGTGAAGCACGCTGTCAAGAATAAGGTGGCAAGCTGGGAGCGGTGGTGCGCATCTATATCCCAGCCACTCAGGAGGCTGGAGTGGGAGGATCAGTTGAGCCCGGGAAGCTGCCGTGAGCCATGGGATGGCACCACTGCACTCCAGCCTGGATGACAGAGTGAGACCCTGTACCACACAAACAAGAAAACAAAAAGAACAAGGTGGCACTCCCCTTGTTCCCTTAAAACAGCCTAAGGTGCGGGGGAGGGCACGAGCATGTTCTGTAAAGGGCCGGATAGTAAATATTTTGCGCTTTGAGGGCCAGGAGCTCTTTGTTGCAACCACTCCACTGTGCTGTTGTAGTGGGAAAGCCGCCATAGACAACACGTAAATGAATGAGTGTGGCTGTGTTCCAATATCACTTTATTTATAGATGCTGAAATGTGAATTTCATATCACTTTTGTGTATCCCAAAATATTTTTCTTTTGATTTTTTTCCCCAATCATTTAAAAATGTAAAAATTGTTCTTAGATTTCACGCCGTACAGAAACAGAGGGTTGGCCCTCAGTCATAGTTTGCTGACCCCCACACTGAGGTACAACCTCAGGGGACTTGTACCAAGGCATCTCTCAGAATATAACTTCCAAGGCTGGGGCCAAAGCGGGGAGATGTCATCCAAAGAAGAAAATAGTCCTTTCTGGGCCAGGACTAGAGAGGAACAAAGAACACACAGAATCCTTAGTCATGGTTCCTCATGGGGGTCAGCTGCTAGGTCTGGGTGTGAATAGAAGTGTCACCCCGTTCCTTGCCTAGTGATGTGCAGGGACGAACTGGAGGCTTCTGGTGCTAACCAGGCAGCCACATTCTCCTGATGACAGGCTACGGGAGGATGCGCAAGGGCTCAGGCCCTGCCACTCCCTCCTTCACTGAGAGAAACGCAGGCTCCCTGGGGCTCCTCAGAGCTCCTCAGGTACACACCCGCCTACCCAGGGGTGCCAATCGATGAGGACAGGCAGATCCTTTGATTCACCCAAAGCTTGGCCTGGTTCTCACCTTTCTGGAGTCTCATGGCTTCTTAGACACACATACACACAACACACTCGCAGCCAGCCCATCACGTGTCCCCGCCCCCTCCTGTCTCCAGCGTAGAGAGCACAGGTCAGCATGCCAGATGGCAACCTTGCTGCTGCAGCAGACTGCTGCCTCCCTAGGGAGTGGGGGTGAAAGCAAGGCACTGGATGATGCCTACGCTCCAGTCCCCACCCCCTCCTCTTCAACGTGCCTCTGCCTGGTCCTTTCTCTGGAATCTCTAGGGATGAGGGGTGTGTGTGTGTGTGTGTGTGTGTGTGTGTGATGTGAAGTGCCAGAGGAGAAGTGGAGAGGTGAAGAGAAAGCAAAAGCCACTCCTTACCTCTGTACAGGTCCTGCCCCAGTGACTAGGCACCTCCTTCCAGCTGGAGGGTGAGTGGGACCTCCCTCTCTGGTGCACAGGGAGGCTGGTGGGCTCTTGGAGGTGAGTAATAGGCATGGGGTGGACAATAAGGCTGCCCCAAAGCCTAGTGGGAGAGACATAGGGGCCTGGGACCTTTCAGGGAGACTGCTCTCACTTCCCAGCTCTTTTGAGGGCCCTGGCTGAGTGTCATTCAGTCTAACCTGTGGACCTCATCATCCCCTTCCCAGCCTCATCAAGGGCCCAGAGCCTTGGATCCCCCTGAATGTCAGGGTCAGACAAAATTTGGAGTTAGGAGGGAACTAAGGAAGGAGAGTCGGGCCATGAGAAAGCCTCCTCTTAAAGTGAGCAATGATGATCGAATAGAAGCCCAATGTATGTTTTTTTTTTTTTTTTTTTTTTTGAGACGGAGTTTCGCTCTTGTTACCCAGGCTGGAGTGCAATGGCGCGATCTCGGCTCACCACAACCTCTGCCTCCTGGGTTCAGGCAATTCTCCTGCTTCAGCCTCCTGAGTAGCTGGGATTACAGGCACACGCCACCATGCCCAGCTAATTTTTTGTATTTTTAGTAGAGACAGGGTTTCACCATGTTGACCAGGATGGTGTCGATCTCTTGACCTCGTGATCCACCCGCCTCGGCCTCCCAAAGTGCTGGGATTACAGGCTTGAGCCACCGCGCCCGGCCCCAATGTATGTTATGTACCAGGTGAGGAATCTCTAT